ATTTTGTACGTTTTTTATCAAGCTTGCTAAATACAGTGCACAGCAAACAACCTTAAAATGTTGTTCTTATTGTTTATTGTATTATTTATTTATTGTATTTTAATTCTTAATCAAAATATTTCTGTTAAAATTTAGAAATTTTATCCTTGTGGTATCGAAAATGGTATCGAGTATCGAATATTTTCCTTAGTATCGGTATCGAGTTGAAAAATTTGGTATCGTGACAACCCTAATTGGTTGGGCTGAAAATGGCATATTTGCTATTCTTTGCACCCTAATTCAAGCCTGGTTAAAGCCCTAGAATGAAACGACAGGTTTTCTTCCTTTTATGGTATGCTCGTGAATATTTAGATGAGCTGTGCTCTGATTGGTTGGCTAAGACACATCATAGAAACAAGCACTCACTCACTCACTAAAATATCAATATTGTTGATATGGTAGGGTGACCAGACGTCCACTTTTTCCTGGACATGTCCTACTTGTCATAAGTAAAAAAGAAATGTCCGGGGGGATTTTTCAAAATCGTCCGGGATTTTGGTCGAACACACTGCAGCATGTAGTAAAAGCACACCAGGCACTCGAACTGAGCCGTCTGCTCTGGAAACGGAAACGCTCCCGGCGGACGGGGGCAGGGAGCCAGCAGGGGATGGAGTGACCTAACCCGACCCGGTGATGGTAGCCTGCACCAGCATTCCCGGGCTTCCCCCTGCCTGCCTTACCGGCCCCCAGCCCCCCTCATCGGGCTGGGGACGAGCGGCTCATGGCTCTCTGCTGAGGTCGGGTCCAGTCACAGGTCCAGCAGTCGACACTTCATACCCCCTCTCCCTTGGGCCAGTGAACCAGTGGGCTGGTCTGTATGTAAATTTCGGGGCATGACAAAAGTACAGGCCAGAACCAAATAAGAAAACATCCCCGAGTTTACATCAGCTCGGGGATTCGTTTGGATTCTCCCGTTTTATTGTGGAAGTTTAGAATTGTGAGATCTGCAGAGAAAGGAGGTGTCGATGGGGTTTGAACTTTTCTGTACGTCCATTTCACCCACTGAACTATCGTTATTCATCTATGACAATGTAAACTCGGTTTTGCAATTTTTAACCCCCTTTAAAAAGTAAACTAAACAAAATAGTACTTAAATACCATAATAAAATGACAAATAAACAGAAAACTTAAACACAAAAGAAAATAAAAAAATTGAAAACACCTCAGATCATGAAACACTGCCTGTTATGCTAGCCGACAATGTTCTGTTACACTGAAAAAGAGCTGCACACCAATTTAAATTTGTATTGCTTTCAGAATAGAGCTAAACTAGTTAATAGCTTTATTTAAATACAGAGGAGATCCAAAGGCGTTCTAAGATCAGTAAATAATTAACCCAAAGTCCTGCAAGCTAATAATTGTGAGATAGGAATCAGCACTAAAATGCATTACTTTCCAAGGCTTTATTCATTTGATAATTCCTTTGTAAAATCTTCTCATCAGAGCCAGTGAAAGTTCTTGACCAGCTGGTTTGAAGAAACATAGTCCTTCATATCAGCTAAGAAATTAATTGTACTATTGCTATGCTCACAGGTAAACTGGCCAGAAGAAGGAAAATGCTTGTAGGACAAAAGGGGGCATGGGCTGATCTTTTTTGAGGAACACTAAAAACACAAAAGCTTCTGAGAAACAAAAGTTAAGAGTGGTAACCAAAAATCATGATTGAAATTAACAAATGTTATTGATCGAACTTAAACTCCATGGCTTATTCAGTTTAGCAGATGTGAAATACAGTTGTTGTTATCTAACAGATGTGGTTTCAGGCTTTTCTTTTGCAGCTGTGTGTCTTACTAAACCACAAAACAGATATCTTTTAGAAAGACCATGTAGATTTACAATTTTTCCCTCTAACAAAAGAACAAAAAAACAAGCCACTTTCAACAGCGTGATTTACCATATAACTATGTGAAAAGAAAGTTTCAACAAACCAAGGGTTCATATAAATCCATATAACAGTTACGGGTGTTCCAGGAGCTCTGAGAACACTTTCTTCAGAAAATAAAGTTTAATTATATCCATGTCTCTTTGCATAAATTCAATACTTTTCCAATCTTCTCATATCTAAAATCTGCACAGCGTGCTTTGACAAATTGAAAACAAAATGAGACAATTCCTTGACTCACTCTGTGTTATGAGTATCAATTGTGTGGAAGAGCTCCTTCAGTTCCTCAGCAGTCAGGACTCCATCAGAAAAGTAGGATTTGAATTCATCAAAAGACAGCTTTCCATCATCTGAAGGAGAAATTAGAAATAGGGTTCATGAAAGACATTTTGCATAATTCTCCTTTAGGTAAGACATTGATTTTTGTGGTGGTCACAGTAGTGACGAGGAGAAACCAACTTAGTACTTCCTTACAGCTTTATACTGATCAAAATAACACTAACATAGCTGAGATTCAGTGAACAAAAATTCTTAATTGTAAAATAATAGAAGTGATCAAACTGAAAAGAAATTGATGTTCTTGTTTTCATTACTTAAGCAAACACCATTGTGTCTGTGTGGGGCCGTCAGGATTTTCATCAATTAGATTAATGTGATAGCAATCTCCAACAATCAGTCACTTTGATGCTCTGACATGCTCCAATTATGAAAATAATAAAGAGTTATGAAATATTCATGAGAAACACATAATCAAAAGTAAAAAAAGAAAATAAAATGAGGAGGTTTACAGTGAATGTCCTGAATATCAAAAATGCAGACAGTGTCATTCTGTCTCCAGCTGTGACAGACTGTTTTTGTGGACCTGTGATGGGGGATCTTTAAATGTTCACTGCTAGTCTGCCACAGGGCTCATGAGTGTTGTGTTGCCATAGATACTACAAGGAATACCCACTTGCACTTAAATGTAATGTATAGTGACCCTTTGTTACCTGTGACAGGCTAGGTACATTTGCTGTTCTGATATTTCTTCATCTTCATACTGTCTGCTGTGGTTCTTGGTCACAATGCTGTATATTGACCAATTCCCTTTATCAAAACAAACTGGTTCAAGAGCTATAAAGATACTTTAGTTCTGCTATTTGGATCAAAGACATTAATGGCTTACATTAATAACATACATTAATAAAATCAGACATTAATCAACCAGTAGTCAATTTCTCATTTTTATTTAACTAATTTGATTAAAAAATATTACTTTATTCCAAAGAAAAATAAATGTTTTTGTACCTCATATTACAGATTTTTGTACAAAGAGCCCTTGTAGATGCTAGTATCAGTAGGCAGCAAGAATCTCCTGTAGTGATCTGTCTTACAGCAGCTCTGGAAAATCTTCTTACTTAAGACACTCTACTGTTCTCCTGATAGTATGATGAAAGGATTTTTTATATGTTCTTCATTTTTGAAGAATTATTTTTTGTAAAACCAGCCCCAGAGGGCTTTTCAGGCTTCTCCAGAACCGAGCCAGCCTCCTTTAATTTTGCTGGGCTTCATTAAGTCAATTGCCCAAATGCTGCTATCTCAGCAGAAGATGCTGCATTTTGCATCTTACTACAAAGACTGATTGACAAATATTAAATAAGAACCACAGTGCTCTGTCCCCCCTTGGACACAGCTAGTGAATCACTTCTTCTCCCATGATAATAATGTTTGACTTATTTCTATCTCACCTGAAATCTCAACCACTCCCCTTGTTTATCCAGTGATTGCAGACCTGTTGCCCTGACATCCCACATCATGAAGGTCATTGAGAAACTGTAACTGGATCACCTCAGCAAACAAATAAAAAGATATCAAGACACCCTGCAGTTTGCTTACTGCGGTGGAGCTGAAGATGCCATTATGCACCTGCTTCAAGAAACAGCGCTCACTGCGTTGTAAGGATCATGTTTTTTGATTTCTCCAGTGCATTTAAGACAATTCAGCCTGACCTACTTTCTGAGAAACCTCAGAAGACTCAGGTGGAGGCATCAACAATTGCCTGCATCAAAGACTACCTGACAAACAGATCATAGTTTGTTAGACAGAAGGGTCAGCTGTCAAACCAGGTAGTCAGCAGCACAGGAGAACCACATGGGATGGTACTCTCTCCATTCCTTTTTACTCTGTTCACCTGTGAATTCCAGTACCATACAGAGTACGGTAATCTGCAAAAATACTCGGAGGACTCTCCAATCATTGGGTGCATCAAAGATGGACAAGAAGCTGAGTACACAGAGCTACTGCACTGCTTTGTGTCATGGTCTAGAAACAATAATCTGATGCTAAGTGTGAAAAAACAAGGGAGATGATTGTAGACCAAATGAACAAGGAACAAGTTGAATCATGTTCACATCATGGGAGAAGAAGTGGAGGTGGCGGAGGAGTACAAACACCTTAGTGTTCACCTGGACAACAGAGTGTGATTGGAAACGCAACTGTGAAGCAGTCTACAAGAATGAGCAGAGAAGACTATTTTCTCAGGAAGCTTAGCTGCAGCATTTGTAGAAAGAGTCTCTGTGGAGACTGTGATCTCTTATGCCATCTTTGCTAGGGTAACAGCATCAGAGCAAGTGACAAAAATGTGCAACAGGCTAATAAAGACGGCAGGCTCTGTTCTAGAAACCCTCGGATAGGATTTCACAAAGAAGAATTATTGAGGAAATTATCTATGCTTTTTTTACTCCGTTAGGTGGGCTGTGGCTAAACGTCATGTAAAACAAAGGATTGTGGGCAATCGTATAGCTCCGAATGGAGACAAGAAACATCAGGAGGTATCTACTCTAAGGCTACGTTCACACTGCAGCCTGAAAGGACCAAAATCCAATGTAGTGGTCCATATGCGACCTGGATCTAATCTTTTCATGGCTGTCTGAACATCACAGATCCGATTTTCTCCAGTGCGACCCAGGCGACTTGGCTATGTGGTCCTGAATCGGATAC